TTACCAAGCTGACCACCAAAGTCATTATTTATAAGCTATTATCATAAGGTTTAGGCTATAATGTTACATTCATTCTTGCAATCAACAGCCAGAAGGCTTAATATTTTATATGAATCATATCACAGATAAACAGACAACTAATGAGATCTAGCCATGTTTCCATCTATCTAGGGGATATGACTAGCTAGTAAAATATAGCTAGCCACTAAATTTTCCTTCACAGCACCCCTCTCTCTTTAGGCTGGTTAGCTAGGGACAAAATATAAAATCACTGGCCAGTTCGTCTTTAGCTCTAATACCTAATGACAAATGCTTAAACCACATCAGGAGACACTGGGAAAAAATGTATTTAGCAGTGTTTTCGTAGTGCACGTGATGGTAGAGTTTGCAAAACAAATACCCACTGGATTGATGCAAATAATCATGATATAATTCTGCCAGGTAAGCATAGGCTACCTTGTAGTTAACATTTAACCCTTTGCAGCCCGTCCATTTAAAAAAATCAGAAACATTACAATCATTAATCTTTTCATAAAACCCCTCTTTTGATAGGTTACAATGTCTATTAACCCATCAGTCTAAGCCCTGTCTTAGCCGAGGGAGGGGGGTTTCTACTAAGCTGCATGGAATTGTTTTAAGAAGGTCATACCAAGGATCATTTAGCTATTTGATTTAGAATTTTAAGACCGCTTTAAGTATAAAAAATATAAATAAATACAAATATTTGATTAAAAATTATTTTGGGCCTAACTCCTATTAGCCCATAAAAACGCATTGAATAATAGATTCATTACATGGAACAGAATGTCTCCCCAAAAATATCAAAAGGAAGTTTGTTCTGAAGTGTCTCTCCTATGTCTGAGAGATATAAGAAAGATCAGACATTTTTATTTATTATTATTTTATGTTTAATACGTATTTAACCCCATATTTTTGGCATTAAACAGTCTCCATATGAACTTCCATTCATTTTTTAAACTGGTACCGGGGGACCTTCAGACAAGTCTTGTGAGGCCTGTGGTCGTCCTAAAGCGAAACAAAACAATCTCACCTTTGCACAGAGGGGTCATATTAGTGTTTAGCCCAAACGGTCCGGAAGCTACAGACAGAAGTTGGCAGATCGGCTGTACCTTCAGATGAGTCTTCTGACACTTGTGGATTTGTAGAGCAAAACGGAGAACACCATCGTGTTTGTGAGAGTCTCATCTTTCCATAATAGTTTGTAGGCCAAATCAGACACTACAGACAATTTTGTGAGAAGACCGATTTTCGGGTTGTCTCATGGTCTGACAAACACTGCTCTAGCTCACCTTTCTCCGCAGATGCGGAACTGTTACATACATCAATGCGGTGCATTGAGACGCATCCAATGCAAAAAAAACAGATACTTACCTTAAACTGACAGATTTTTCTATGGGGATTTTGTATTATGCTAATTAGATTGTGAAATGAACTTTGGAAGCCTGGTGAGCTAACTAGCTATCAAGCCCAGCAGACTTGAAAGGTAGAATCAGCTTGAAAGTGAGTCGTCAATTGCTGAGGAAAAAAAATATCCTCAAATAATGTAAGCTATCAAGCTATGGTCCTCTGTAGCTCAGCTGGTAGAGCACGGCGCTTGTAACGCCAAGGTAGTGGGTTCGATCCCCGGGACCACCCATACACAAAATAAAAAAGGATGCACGCATGACTGTAAGTCGCTTTGGATAAAAGCGTCTGCTAAATGGCATATTATATTATATAACCTAGAATGCTAGCTAGTCACCTAGCTAGCTATGATAGCTAGTTAGCTAGATGACCAACAAGCTAACGGTAGCCAACTCCGTTCCGTACATATGTGGGCAACAGCGGCATTCAAACGTGGCTGCAATGAAAACTAATGGGACTGTAGCGACTGTGTTGGCATCAAAATCCGGGGTGTGAACTAAGTTTCCGATTCATCGTTGATTGACATGGTAACGGACCAAAAGTATTGGAGAAAAGTTGAAAAAAACTGACCCCGCTGACGATGTACGTTAAAGTGTGACATGTCACGAAGTTATTCAACTCATTCTGTGCCGTACAGCCTCTTTCCACCAGGTGTACCGCTTCTCTCGCAGATTAAAAACAAGAAATGATCAATGGTGAGTGTAAAGTTAATTACTTGTGAGTTCATAAATAGTTAATTCAATCAATTGTAAATTTTTCGCGTAATCACCGCAAGCCATCATTGACTCTTAAAAACTGTGACACCCACAGTTTAATTGTGAAGATAAATGTAGCGCCGCCCTAAAAACCCTATTATAATTCGCTATTATAATTCGACACAAACCAATGAGGGAAAAAAGTATTTGATCCTCTGCTGATTTTGTACGTTTGCCCACTAACAAAGAAATGATCAGTCTATAATTTTAATGGTAGGTTTATTTGAACAGTGAGAGACAGAATAACAACAAAACAATTCAGAAAAACGCATGTCAGAAATGTTATAAATTGATTTGCATTTTAATGAGGGAAATAAGTATTTGACCCACTCTCAATCAGAAAGATTTCTGGCTCCCAGGTGTCTTTTATACAGGTAACGAGCTGAGATCAGGAGCACACTCTTAAAGGGAGTGCTCCTAATCTCAGCTTGTTACCTGTATAAAAGACACCTGTCCACAGAAGCAATCAATCAATCAGATTCCAAACTCTCCACCATGGCCAAGACCAAAGAGTTCTCCAAAGATGTCAGGGACAAGATTGTAGACCTACACAAGGCTGGAATGGGCTACAAGACCATCGCCAAGCAGATTGGTGAGAAGGTGACAACAGTTGGTGCGATTATTCACAAATGGAAGAAACACAAAAGAACTGTCAATCTCCCTCGGCCTGGGGCTCCATGCAAGATCTCACCTCGTGGAGTTGCAAGGATCATGAGAACGGTGAGGAATCAGCCCAGAACTACACGGGAGGATCTTGTCAATGATCTCAAGGCAGCTGGGACCATAGTCACCAAGAAAACAATTGGTAACACACTACGCCGTGAAGGACTGAAATCCTGCAGCGCCCGCAAGGTCCCCCTGCTCAAGAAAGCACATATACATGCCTGTCTGAAGTTTACCAATGAACATCTGAATGATTCAGAGGAGAACTGGGTGAAAGTGTTGTGGTCAGATGAGACCAAAATGGAGCTCTTTGGCATCAACTCAACTCGCCGTGTTTGGAGGAGGAGGAACGCTGCCTATGACCCCAAGAACACCATCCCCACCGTCAAACATGGAGGTGGAAACATTATGCTTTGGGGGTGTTTTTCTGCTAAGGGGACAGGATAACTTCACCGCATCAAAGGGACGATGGACGGGGCCATGTACCGTCAAATCTTGGGTGAGAACCTCCTTCCCTCAGCCAGGGCATTGAAAATGGATCGGTATTCCAGCATGACAAAACACACGGTCAAGGCAACAAATGAGTGGCTCAAGAAGAAGCACATTAAGGTCCTGGAGTGGCCTAGCCAGTCTCCAGACCTTAATCCAATAGAAAATCTGTGGAGGGAGCTGAAGGTTCGAGTTGCCAAACGTCAGCCTCGAAACCTTAATGACTTGGAGAAAATCTGCAAAGAGGAGTGGGACAAAATCCCTCCTGAGATGTGTGCAAACCTGGTGGCCAACTACAAGAAACGTCTGACCTCTGTGATTGCCAACAAGGGTTTTGCCACCAAGTACTAAGTCATGTTTTGCAGAGGGGTCAAATACTTATTTCCCTCATTAAAATGCAAATCAATTTATAACATTTTTGACATTTTTTTGTTGTTATTCTGTCTCTCACTGTTCAAATAAACCTACCATTAAAATTATTGACTGATAACTTCTTTGTCAGTGGGCAACCGTACAAAATCAGCAGGGGATCAAATACTTTTTTCCTTCACTCTATGTAATGAGACATTATATAAACTCTTTATAGTGTTTTATTTACATTTTAGAGGTGATAAATTGGACAAATTGGGTGAAAAAAGCCGGTTCCCCACACAACATATCCCCCCCTTTCACTATGACGCAGTAGCTTTCGCTTCCCCACCCGCCATTTTTTTAAACGACCCAGCGGAGCTCCATTGCTTTCTTCAATCATGCAGAGACGGGCAGCATGTAGGTCTCGTCATTGACTTTGCTGGAAAGGGGAGAAATTGTGCTTTACAATGGTATTCATATTACAGTTGACCTGGAAGTATTACGTTTTTGGGGCGCTAATATAAGGTCAAATGTACAGAACAGCGCGATGTACAAAAGTGAATTAGCTACCGTTATGTCAGTCACCCAAAACGAAGCAAGATAGCCTACTTAAATTAGATCTTGTCTTTTTGATGTTAATGTTTTCTTTGATAACTGTACAAAATAAAATGTATTTGTCATTTGGTATTAGAGCTAAAAACGAACTGGCCAGTGATTTATATTTTGTCCCTAGCTAACCAGCCAAAAGAGAGAAAAGGGAGTGCTGTGAAGGAAAACTGAGTGGCTAGCTATATTTTACTAGCTAGTCATATCCCCTAGATAGATGGAAACATGGCTATATCCTCATTAGTTGTCTGTTTATCTGTGATATGATTCATATAAAATATTAAGCCTTCTGGCTGTTGATTGCAAGAATGAATGTAACGTTATAGCCTAAACCTTATGATAATAGCTTATAAATAATTACTTTGTGGTCGTCAGCTTGGTAACTAAATGATCCTGGTCTAGCTGGTTTGTGTCTTTGCTCCTTACAGGCACACATTATCATATGATTTCAGTTATGGACTATCAGATATGCAATTGATAACTTGTGGATAGACTATTCACTTTCATTGATGATTCCTTTTTTATGTACTTAAGTGTATTAACTTTTTGTCAATCTTAGGTTATTCTTTGGAGGGGTTGTCACTGATTTACATTTGAAATGTTCATTTTCATTGTTTGTCTTTATGTTTGAGTTTTAGAAATGGACAGAGGAGACCAGGTACCAGCAGATAATGCAGTTCCCGTCCTTGAGGAGGAGGACACAGACGGCAGATGAGCAGCGGGTCAATGCTGCGGAAGACCTGCAGGATGAGGAGGACCATGAAGGCCTTCTTAGAGGAAGATGGCCTTAAGGCGGAGCTACTCGGAGAAGACGAGAATGAAGAGAATGAGATCAAGGAGCCAGAGGAAGTTGAGAAGCCACCACCTGAGGCATCTCAGCCAAGTTCTTCCACTGGAAGGTAACTATAAAATGATGCGTTATTGTTATGCATCATCAGGCCTTTATAAATTGGATAAGTACTATGTTTGTTATAAATATATTATTGAGTATACTAACAATTATCTATTTTCTCTAGTCTTGTTTTTGTCTATATGTTCCTACTCCAAGTCACTGTAAGTGTAAACGCTCTGTCTTGCCCAATAGCATGTTTCAGTTCTATGATAATGTTGATACACAGGCACCGGAATCCATCCCGTTCAGGCCAGAATGTTCAGTTGGTTTAGATCAAGGCAGTCTGACCTTCATCGATACTGGGGTACAAAGTCTCTTCAGCGTTCTAGGGCTAGAGCATTCATATCGCGTAATAGCTTCAGAGCTCTGTTGGCTACTTTATACATTGTGGATCATGCCTCTGAGGATAATGCAGATGGGCTTAGAAAACTGCAGTACTTACTGGACCACCTGAAAAAGATTTGTAAAAAGCTATATCAGCAAACCAAAATGTAGCCATAGATGAGCGCATGGTCAAATCAAAAGGGGCGATCAGGATTCAAGCAGTATTTGAAAGGGACGCCAACTAGGTGGGGATTTAAATGATGGGTCATTGCTTCTTCTGACACAGGCTACATTTTAAATGTCAATGTTTACACCGGCAGTTGGGATGGTCGTGTGGTTGACCTAGCCAGGAAAGTGGTTGAGGAATTAGTTGGGCCATATGCAAACCACAGATACAACGTTTGGTTTGACAACTTTTATACATCACCCCCGCTCGTAAGTAGTCTGAGAGAACACGGTGTCAATGCATGTGGGACTTGTAGGGTCAACTGGAAACAGTTTCCTGAAGCTTTTAAGGACTTTCAAAAGTGGGGGGCATCAAACCGAGTGTGGGGATATGAGTTGGTGTAGGATAGGTGGCAATGTGTTGGCCATACAGTGGAGAGAGACACGTACTGTTACTTGCCTTTCCAATTTTCAAAATGCAAATGATTCCACTCAAGTAAAGAGGCTAGTCAGACAGGATGGTGTTTGGAATAGGAAAGCGGTCTGCCAGCCTGCTGTAATCCACGATTTAAATAGACAGATGGGTGGGGTTGACAAGTCTGATCAATTGATCAACTCCTACAATGTTTTGCAGAAGACCCAGAAGTGGTGGGAAACACTTTTTACACTGTGTTGACATTGCAGTTGTCAAACTGGTTACTGCCAGATTACATTCTGAGAGAACCTCGCTCGTCAGTTAGGAGGTATTGATGTTAATGACAGGTATTCATCTTTCGACAGACCTTTTGTCTGTGAAAACTGTAAGCTTATCTTTTCACACAAAGCACATGCCCAGTCTACAGGCCCCCTCTAGAAATTGTTGGCTGTGTTACAGGAAAGATAAAGGAGAACAGGACCTGGTTTGTTTGTGTGGCACTTGAATATGAGGGCAAACGGTGAGGACCTAAATTGTTTTAGGTTGTGGCATTCCAGTGAGTGTGACTCATTGCGGAACAAGGCACTAGAGTAAAGGGACTCCAATGTACCTCAGATGTTCAGTAGTCATTTTACCTGTCTTGCATGTTTCCCCTTTCCTGCATGTCCCCTCTCCATTGCATATTTTCCCTTTCTTATCCAAGACATCCTTCATGCCAACCTCCCTTTATGTTTGATTCATGATTAACGGCCTTGGGGATGTAAAGGACGTGTAAATGTAATTAATGTAAAATAAATGTTGTGCTTTTGGAATGGTTCCCGTTCTGACTTTGTGTAAATAGACAATATGCTAGTTGAATGTAGAAATTGAAGTTGTAAAAACCAATTGTTGTTTTGTAATTACAGTTACATTTGGATTAAATTAGCCCTGAAATGAATTCTGTATCATATTATGGTTATGATAGCGATATAAATTGGTCTTCATTTTCAGGTTTGAATGAGAAAATGTATTCCCCCTAATATTATTATTTTATCACTTGTTTGTCTTTCCTTATCATATGTAAAACGAAATGCTATTTTTATTATTTGGGGGTGCAGATATGGTTTCTAATATACTATCCAGATAAGATAAGTGTCCGATCACAGAACAATCCATAGAATTTTAGAAAAATATAACCGGTCACTAAATCATCTAGCTCATTCACAGTAAAAGGTATTTCTATTCTGATTTCAGATTATCAGCTTTACAAAATAAGGAAGACTCAATATTCTCTAAGTTTTTCTCTATCGTCATTAGAAAAATGGGTAAATGACAGTTGTTGGAGAAAAGCATTGATATTCGTATAAGATAAACATTTTCACAGGTGTTATTTCTTGATGGATTACAATTTGATTGATGTGGTGCTATTGTATGTCAAATCATTTGAAAGAGCTGTTTCTCAGCTTTCAAAATATGTATCATGTTTTCATATAAGGTTTGACACTAGCAAATTATTCTCATTTATGAACACAGAAGTCATGATCCAGTAAAAAATTGAACATTTGGGAAAGTTTTCCATCTACCAGAAGACTCTTCATTAGCATCATCGCTAACTGCTACACAAAGTGGTAGACGAGCGCACAACACATACGCAGACAGGGATAATTCTCGTTGCCTCCTCAGAAAGTTGCAGGAAATACTAAACACTGATGCATTCTGTTCCTGTCTTATGATAACATGGGAAAATTAATTACTTTTCAAAACATTTAGTTAATTCCCTAAGTTCAACTTTTATTTACAGTGCATTCGGAAATTATTCAGATCCTTTCCCTTTTTCCACATTTTGTTACGTTACAGCGTTATTCTAAAATCGATTAAATTAAATGTTTTACTCACCAATCTACACACAATACCCCATAATGACAAAGCAAAAACAGGTTTTTAGAAATGTTGCTAATTTATTAAAAATAAAAAACTGAAATACCTTAATTACATAAGTATTCAGACCCTTTGCTATGAGATTCGAAATTGAGCTCAGGTGCATCCTGTTTCCATTGATCATCCTTGAGATGTTTCTACAACTTGATTGGAGTCCACCTGTGGTAAATTCAATTCATTGGACATGATTTGGAAAGGCACACACCTGTCTATATGAGGTCCCAAAGTTGACAGTGCTTGTCAGAGCACAAACCAAGCCATGAGGTCGAAGGAATTGTCTGTATAGCTCAGAGCCACAGATCTGGGGAAGGGTACCAAAACATTTCTCCAGCATTGAAGGTCCCCAGGAGCACAGTGACCTCCATCATTCTTAAATGGAAGAAGTTTGGAACCACCAAGACTCTTCCTAGAGCTAGCCGCCCGGCCAAACTGAGCAATCAGGGGAGACCCGATGGTCACTCTGACAAAGCTCCAGAGTTCCTCTGTGGAGATGGGAGAACCTTCCAGAAGGACAACCATCTCTGCAGCACTCCACCAATCAGGCCTTTATGGTAGAGTGGCCAGATGGAAGCCACTCCTCAGTAAAAGGCATATGACAGCCCGCTTGGAGTTTGCCAAAAGGCACCTAAAGGACTCTCAGACCTTGAGAAACAAGATTCTCTGGTCTGATGAAACCAAGATTGAACTCTTTGGCCTGAATGCCAAGCGTCACGTCTGGGGGAAACATGGTGGTGGCAGCATCATACTGTGAGGATGTTTTTCAGCGGCAGGGACTGGGAGACTAGTCAGGATCTAGGGAAAGATGAACGAAGGAAAGTACAGAGAGATTATTGATGAAGACCTGCTCCAGCGCACTCAGGACCTCAGACTGGGGCGAAGGTTCACCTTCCAACAGGACAACAACCCTAAGCACACAGCCAAGACAACACATGAGTGGCTTCGGGACAAGTCTCTGAATGTCCTTGAGTGGCCCAGCAAGAGCCCGGACTTGAACCCAATCGAACATCTCTGGAGGGACCTGAAAATAGCTGTGCAGCATCGCTCCCCATCCATCCTGACAGAGCTTGAGAGGATCTGCAAAGAAGAATGGGAAAAACTCCCCAAATACAGGTGTGCCAAGCTTGTAACGTCATAACCAAGAAGACTCGAGGCTGTAATCACTGCCAAAGGTGCTTCAACAAAGTACTGAGTAAAGGGTCTGAATACTTATGTTAATTTTATTTCCGTTTTTAATTTTTCATGAATTTGCAAAAATTTCTAAAAACCTGTTTTTGCTTTGTCATTATGGGGTATTTTGTGTAGATTGATGAGGGGGAAAAAACGACTTAATCAATTTTAGAATAAGGCCATAAGGTAACAAAATGTGGAAAAAGTACACTGTATTTTTTATTTTACCCTTATTTTCCCAGATAGGTTGACTGAGAACACTCATTTACAGCAACGGCCTGGGGAATAGTTACAGGGGAGAGGGGGGGGGGGGGGGGGGGGATGAATAAGACAATTGGAAGCTGGGGATGATTAGGTGGCCATGATGGTATGAGGGCCAGATTGTAGCCAGGACACCCCTACTCTTATGATAAATGCCATGGGATCTTTAGTGACCACAGAGAGTTAGGACACCCGTTTAACGTCCCATCCGAAAGACGGCACCCTACACAGGGCAATGTCCCCAATCACTGCCCTGGGGCATTGGGATCTTCTTCTTTTTTTTTGACCAGTGGAAAGAGTGCCTCCTACTGGCCTTCCAGTAGCATCTGGTCTCCCATCCAGGGACAGACCCTGCTTAGCTTCAGTGGCAAGCCAGTAGTGTGATGCAGGGTGGTACGTTGATGAATTCCTTTTTAATGTCTGGAAATGACTTAGGAATGACTTAGGTAAGCTGCAGCCGCCTTAGGCATGACTCAATATAATAATGAGGCTACCTCTTGACTCAGACCTATAAGCAAGTCTAGGCTGATTAAGTAAGCTAAATCATTGGTAATATCTCATAAAAAGGGTGATGGGGTACAAATATGCAAGGGTAAATCCATTTGAATTCAAGCACCTTTTGACAGCATGCCTTTTGATTTAAAACAAAAAACTTTCCATACATGTATGGCCATGGAAGAAGTGGTCAGAAAGTGACTTGAGGAAAAAAAAAATCAGTTTTTACACAATTTACATTTAAGGTATAAAACAAAAACATTTTTTTTTATTAAAACACATTTTTTCAATAAATTATTAAATAGTTTGACAATCCTGTTTGTAAACTTTTAAATTATATAAATCTCAACCTTTTAACTTTTCCAGTGATTTGGACATGATGTCCTATAGTATGGTGGGGTATGCAAAATAGGGGAACTTTGAGCACCTTTATCTCTTGATTGTTTTGGCATTCAAGTCCAAAAAGTTACTTTTTGAGCATTTCTACAATGGGAAAATATGTATGGAAGATTTTGTTCAAATCAAAAGGGGTGCCGTCAAAAAGAGATCGAATTCAAATTAATTTGAGCACTAAGCTGACGACTGATGGTGAAATAGTAGGCTAAACACCAACTAGTAAGCTAAAGTTCCAGTTCCTCGCCATTAATACTGAAGTGAGACCACATTTTGTATTGTGGTTTGTAACAGTGAATGTCGACCGTATGGGACATCTGTCTCACCAACTACCCATATTAAATCTATTTTCTAGCGACACTGAATCCCATTCAGCAAGGCAATGACGAGCTGAATGGCCCATTTATGAAATGTTTTCAGACTGTAATAAGTTCCAGAGACGGCTGCCTGCAACTCCCTCAAAACGCCATAGAGAAGAAATGGAAAAGTAAGCACAAACAACCTCATTGAGGTTAAACCCAGGGACTTATAATCATAGCTTGAAGATGTGTTGTTCTCTCCCTCAGTGAATCATAGGAGAAATGAAAAGAAAACGAAGTGCCAGTCGCTCTCAAAATGAAATGATTCATTATGGAAATCAGGTAGCCTATGTGCTACCAATATCTGTGGACTTTCAAAACCAACATTCATCATCATTGAGCAAAAGCATTTGCTAGAAGACGTCCTGAATGCTATATAAAGATATTGGGCCATATTTCAAGAAAGCAGGGCTCTACAGTGTGACCATTTTACTCACATATGCACCTAAATATTTAGCTGTGTGACCTGGGATTTGAAATGTAGGAGCACCAGTGCACCTACAAAAAAAATTACAACAATCACCCTGATGATTGTTGTTGCAATGATTACTTCACTGTACCGCAGCCCCTGAGTCCCATGGAGAATACACTGACGCAGATTCATGACCGTCATGCTTGCACCATTACTACAAAAAAACGCGTTGTTGGATAAAATATTTTTAATTGTGCTCCTACATTTCTTTGTGTGCTCCTACATTTTTCAACGTAGGCACACACGTGCTCTTTGTAAAAAAAGGTCAGTGTAGAGCCCTGGAAAGGTTCAGAAAAAAATATTCCAAAGACAAATGTCTGTTGTGAACTCATGGTCCTTCTGCCTGAATGTCCCTGGATGTTTTTGCCAGGTTTCTCACTGCACTGTGAGGCCGGCGGGGCAGAGTCCTCACAAAACACCCAGCTATATGGCGCCCAGACTAGGACTCGCATTGGAAGAAGATGTGGAGAGAGGCGAGGGCAAATTGGGAGGAACTAGAGGGAGTAGCAGAGGACGCGGTGGGGAATGGGAGGGGCAGTAAAGGTGGGGCCAGGCTTGAATACTCAATTGAGGTTTTGTGTTTTCTAGGAAAACTGTGGCGGAATGGACCAAGAGGGCCTGGATCAGAGACACCCCAAACAGAAGAGGACGCCGAAAAACAGAGCTCGTCTGTGAGGGACTTTCGACAAGAGAGGAGGGGCTGGAGGGATAGAAAACTGTGAACTGTGAGAGGAACTAGCAATGCTGTTACCCTGGTTCAGAGGAAAAGGAAAACTCCAGGTTTTCGCTTGTCCCTCGATGTAGCTACAGTCAGAGAGGAAGAGGCGAAGCAAGACGTTTTAATCCGCCCAAAAGCTATCCAGGAAGTGAGGAATTTTTGTATGGAGGGCAATGAAAGTGTGTCAAAATTTTGTGAACCAAAAATGTAATAGCTGATTTGCAACGTGAGGCTTATTTGATCGAATAGAAGTTTCGCAATGTTTAGGTTGTTATGAATGCACTGATATAAATAGACGCACGTGACATTTCGGCAACTTACCCAAAAACTATTTTATTTGGAGTTGTGCCTGATGTCATGGACATTGCCATTGAGGGCTTCCACCATTTTAAAGTAATCAAATGGGCGGGGATTACTATGAGTTTGGTGCAATCAGCCAATTGGCGCTGCCCATGCTGTCACATACGCTATAATTGTACATATACAAAGATTAGTCTTCTATCTATCTCGATGGCATGTTCACACGCGTATCTGCCCTCTCATTGGCTAGAATGGTCCCACATGGTCTTGCCTCCTCCCGACTCCCTTCCACCTTGGAAGATATGTATTTCCATTATTAGAGCGATCACTCAAATATCTTGTCAATATAATAGACAATCTTTGCTACAGTCTAACCAATAGATAATGACTTAGATTACAACTAGGTGTAGTAATGGAGTTAAGCTACAAACACAAACATCTCCAGTTTTGAACCTTTCAGCGTAACACACTGGGCACTAGAGGTGTAACGGTACACATATTCGTACCGAACCATTTGGTACAGGGACCTCGGTTCAGTCAGCACTGTGAATCCGAATGAATATATATATTTTTAAATCTAAAATAAAAACACTAGGCCTATAAGCTATGCCTACGCTGTGTTCTATGCCATTGATTCTTGAGTAAATCTGAGCTGGGGGAAAAAACCCGTAGGCTATTCCGTTAAAACAACTAAAGCCTATACACACATTATAATCAACATTTTCCTCTTAACTGGCGCATTTCAAACTATCCTTTTGTGAGGCGCAGCAAGGAACTAGTTCTGTACGATGGCGAGTGGTGGGGTCAATAAACCAGAATTGGAGGATCCTCCCCCATTGTTTAAATCTTGAGTTTGGGAACATTGTGGCTTCACAGTAGATTACAACGGCACTGGACAGAGAGTTGTGGATAAAACAATAACAGTATGTCGCCATTGCTCAATGAGAATAGCCTATGCAGAGTCGCGCTTATTGTTGTTGTCGGCCAATCACAAGTCATCAAAGCGGCACTACAGTCATAGAGCCTCCGTGTGGCAAAGCAGGTTTGGACATTATCTAATCAATGGAAAATTGAATTAAAAAAGGTGCAATTTGCAGAAATCACTCTGCCATTTCCTGGTTGCAAAAATGTTAATGGTTTGCCTAATTTCAGTTTGTGTGACAAAACAAGAAAGGTATAGTGTATACAATCATTGTACAATCTAAACTGCTGTGAAATATATTTTCAATAACCAAAAATATTGTATTTTCAGCTGCTTGAAGCTGGTGTACAAAACTGAAAATAAAAGACGCAAAAACTAAATTTAAGAACGGGAAGCATAGAAATAGTGAACATAGAAAATATCTACCGCTTCCTAGACTTGCTTTGAATGAGAATGACATTGGTCTCCCAAAAAGTTACATATTGCAGCTTAAAAAAGTTAAATGAGGAGGATTTGCTACAACGACCAAGTGCCAACAGGTAGGCTGCTACTTAATAATCTGAATGGAGGTGTTGTTATTTGTAACTGTAGGACACGGAGAAAGCGCATGCAGCCTCAATTAGCCAAGCTATCTAGCTAACATGGCTAGCTTAGCTAACTAACTTCTCTTGGTTTGATGCAGTCAAGACAGGTACTACGTCATCATATCACGCAGAGCAAAAATATAAACGCAACATGCAACAATTTCAAAGATTTTACTGAGATACACCTCATATAGGGAAATCAGTCAATTGAAATAAATTCATTAGGCCCTAATCTATGGATTTCACATGACTGGGAATACAGATATGCATTTGTTGTTCACAGAAACCTTTTTTTTTTTAAAGGAGGGGCGTGGATCAGAAAACCAGTCAGTATCTGGTGTGACCAACATTTGCCTCATGCAGCGTGCCACATCTCCTTCGCATAGAGTTTATCAGGCTGTTGGTTGTGGCCTGTAGAATGTTGTTCCACTCCTCTTAATGGCTTTGTGAAGTTGCTGGATATTGGCGGGAATTGGACCACGCTGTCGTACACATAGATCCAGAGCATCCCAAACAAGCTCAATGGGTGGCATGTCTAGTGAGTTTCCAGGCCATGGAAGAACTGGGACATTTTCCGCTTCCAGGAATTGTATACAGATCCTTGCGACATGGGGCCGTGCATTATCATGCTGAAACATGATGGCAGCGGATGAATGGCACGACAACGGGCCACAGGATCTCGCCATGGTATCTTTGAGCATTCAAATTGCCATCGATAAAATGCAATTGTGTTCGTTGTCCGTAGCTTATTCCTGCCCATACCATAACCCCACCGCCACCATGGGGCACTCTGTTCACAACGTTGACAGAAGCAAACCTCTCACCCACACGACTGCCATCTACCCGGTACAGTTGAAACTGGGATTAATCCGTGAAGAGCTCACTTCTCCAGCGTGCCAGAGGCCATCGAAGGTGAGGATTTGCCTACTGAAGTCGGTTACGATGCCGAACTGTAGTCAGGTCAAGACCCTGGTGAGGACGACGAGAACGCAGATGCACTATCGGTTTCAGACAGTTTGTGCAGAATTTATTTGGTTGTGCAAACCCCCAGTTTCATCAGCTGTCCGGGTGGTTGGGCTCAGGCTATCCTGCAGGTGAAAAAGCCGGATGTGGAGGTCCTGGGCTGGCATGGTAACACGTGGTCTGCGTTTGGACGTACTGCTAAATTCTCTAAAGCGATGTTGGAGGCGGCTTATGGTAGAGAAATGAACATTCAATTCTCTGGCAACAGCTCTGGTGGACATTCCTGCAGTCAGCATGCCAATTGCACACACCCTCAAAACTTGAGACATCTGTGGCATTGTTTTGTGTGACAAGACTGCACATTTTAGTGGCTTTTTATTGTCCCCAGCTCAAGGTGCACCTGTGTAATGATCATGTTGTTTAATCAGATTCTTGATATGCCACACCTCTCAGGTGGATGGATTATCTTGGCAAAGGTGAAATGCTCACTAACAGGGATGTAAACAAATGTGCACAGAATTTGAGAGAATATTTATCTGCGTATGGAACATTTCTGGGATCTTTATTTCAGCTCATGAAACATGGGACTAACACTTTACATGTTGCGTTTATATTCTTGTTCAGTATAGATGGAAAATAACCTAGCTATGACAAGCTAGAAGTTAGTCTACTAGAGCGAGTCGGCTTGGTATGGTTGGTTGCTGTCTCTACGTCTCTCCCTTCCTCCTCCTTGCTCCCTGTGTCACTCACACACACTGCAAGGCCCTTCCTCCGCCTGCTACAGCGTTTCTCCCTCATGCTTTATCAGCTCTGGGCCCGGTTTCCCAAAGGCATCTTAAGGCTAAATTCATTGTTAGAAGAACCATAGGATGCTGCTTCCCTCACTCAGATTGGACCGGGTCTGGATCCGACCAGGTCTATACGAAACTGGTCTAGTTGTCCTCGGGTCCGTTAGGAACATGTCTCTATATGAAAAAAATGATTTATGCATATCGGGTCCGGGTAGGAAAGCCCCAGGTCCATTTCGGAACGGGTCCGTGAAGACCTCTTCTTGAGAGGCCCAACATAACAATCCCTGTCACAACAGACAATGCCAGGAACATCGTAAATGCTGTCACAGAAGCTGGACTTGGGCGGTATACCGTATTTTACGATATACTGGTATTGATGCACGGATCGTTTTGGGTTTTTACTTTACCTTCTATAACGGTATTTGAATGTTTGGTTTGTTAAATGTGATACGCAGTGTGTAACATCCATCTTTATAGTTCGCTGCTTGAGTCATTTCTCTCCGCGCTTGCTCTCTCGCCATGCCGCTTTCCATACAGATCTAGCCCCGTCCCGTCACTCAAGGAGAGCATTTGTTGTTCCTCAACCACTAGACACTTGCGTATAGTCTGCATGGTCAATGCAGCAATGTTGATGACAACGATGCCGTTTTCACTTTGCTTCTTAATATAAATTCACTAGCGTTCTATAATTACACTATTAGTTTGTGTTTCTTACATCTGCAAACAGCTAGTTTGTCTTTTCTTAGCAAGTTGGGCCTAAATCTTGTTGCCACTAATAGTTAGTCGCTAATGCTAATTGCTAGCTAGATAATAAATGTACTCAGTCAGCGCAAACGTAATTTGCTACAGTGGGGAGAACAAGTATTTGATACACTGCCGATTTTGCAGGTTTTCCTACTTACAAAGCATGTAGAGGTCTGTAATTTTTTATCATAGGTACACTTCAACTGTGAGAGACGGAATCTAAAATCCACAAAATCACATTGTATGATTTTTTAGTAATTCATTTGCATTTTATTGCATGACATAAGTATTTGATACATCAGAAAAGCAGAACTTAATATTTGGTACAGAAACCTTTGTTTGCAATTACAGAGATCATACGTTTCCTGTAGGTCTTGACCAGGTTTGCACACACTGCAGCAGGGATTTTGGCCCACTCCTCCATACAGACCTTCTCCAGATCCTTCAGGTTTCGGGGCTGTCGCTGGGCAATACGGACTTTCAGCGCCCTCCAAAGATATTCTATTGGGATCAGGTCTGGAGACTGGCTAGGCCACTCCAGGACCTTGAGATGCTTCTTACGGAGCCACTCCTTAGTTGCCCTGGCTGTGTGTTTCAGGTCGTTTTCATGCTGGAACACCCAGCCATGACCCATCTTCAATGCTCTTACTGAAGGAAGGAGGATGTTGGCAAAGATCTCGCGATACATGG